AAGCATGATTAGCCACTCTCTCTTCTCCGGAAAGATTGCATAATGCATAGGTGTGATTTCCTTCGTTATCAAGCAAGCCTAGTTCCATTTGTATACAAGAAATGTAATAATGTCTGCAGACAAGGATCAAGTTATTGGACGCTTTATCCGCAGGCACAATAACATACATGTCATGTAAATCTTGAAGTATGGATTTAACATCAGGATCGAGGAATAGACTGCGAGAGCACATTATGAGCTTGTCGTATCTCATCTGTTTACAAGACACTTTAGACAGCACGATAATTTTCCATGAGAAGATACTTTTTTATTTGTAATGTAAAAAAAGTTAACAAACAGTTTTAAATATACTTTACACTGACAGTCCTTGAGTTAATGCTTCTAAATATAACCCTGTTTCTTGATGATGTCCCAAAATATTCCTCTATGTTAATGTTTTGACACGACATTTTCCCTAATTTTAGCCGGTCTTTATATTCTGAAAGGTTCTCATGCTTTTGCGTTATTTTGAGAACAAGGTTTCGCGTAGCCAGTTAATTGCAAGATCGGATGATATTTGAAATAGTCTACTGGGACAGCCCACCCCCGCAGATTTAAATTCAAATTACCGGTTCACGTCGACATGTTATAACACAATCGATACTCGAGAATCGCGAGCTAGACCTTTGTCTGCTATATATGAATTGCTCTGATATCGACCAAGAATATCAAGTTAAAACACAGTTTCCCACCAATATACGCCAGCATAATCATTAAAGAATTAACTTTAGCAATATCCCTTACTTACACTGTGATCTCCGTCAATTTTTTTTATAAAGAACCCACATTTCATAAGCTATATAACATGGTATATATTCAATCGACGCGAATTTTTCCTCGCAACACCAACGTTATGTATCACTTTCGTTCTTTATCAAAACACACGTCAAGAATAGAAGATATTAAATTAGTCATATGAAAATTTTCAAGTACATTATACCGAATCAATATTTTACAAATAAAGAGAGAAACTTTTATTTTCTGACGGCGTCAGTCTTTCTTCGTCGATGTGCAGATGAGAATTACTGTCAAAGGGACATATTATACATTTGTTATACTACTGGTTTAACCGCTGTTAATTGTTAACTGTTAGAGCTAAATACAAATACTAATTTCAATCACATATTCGCTATGTCTAAAACAACCTATTACAGAAAAACAGCCACGGAATTCGATTTTATATTCCTGTTATAGTGCACATGCCACCTGTAGCCCACCCTATTTTCTGTCATTCTTTTTTCAATCTATATTCTAACTGTAGGCTCAATGGACTTTATAGCTCATTTGCTTTGCTGATTATCTAGAGATGACACTGATGGGAGAGTTCATTTCGGTAAGTTTCATTTTTATTTCAAACATAACACCTCATTACAGTAAGTTGTAGATGAAAAACACACTTGTAATTTACTTTGAAAATTAACATATCTGAGGCCTGTTACCTTGAAGATGAGTTATGAAAATAATACGGCATGGGTGATATCAACTCATTTGACAAACTTTTACAAAATCCAAGCATGTTACAGGCCCAGTATAAGAATGGAATTCTGTTGGTTACTGAGAAGCCGCAAGAGGATTTTCACACGTTTGACCACTGTGACAGTGTCAGTCATTTAAACTAGCTTGATAGCCCTTCGTCCAGCATGCTGCTGGTCAAGTAACAATATTTTTTGTTTCCCGGTTTGAGATGTCGTTTAAGGATTTTAACACACTTGGCCATTCCAATGCAGGAGGTAAGTCAAGGTTCCAATTTGAACAAGTTTGTCAATGCATTCGTAATCTGATTTAAGATTCTATCATAATTCTCGACCCATTACCTTCCGCATTAGATCTGACAATATTCCATAAGGGTTCACGTTTTGATAAAGTTTTACATTAAGATGGTTGCAAAATTGAATTTATTCATTACAATGTGTATAGAGGGTACAAAAGTCACCAGAACATGACCCCTAATGAGATGCCAGATTTTATACGGTGATTTCAGGACGAGAATTGGGATATGCACTATCGCTACCTTAACCTACGCTACGAAAAGTTTTTATACGGGCCCAAAATATTGTCAAACCCCGTCCATCAAATGGTGTTACATGAATAACTATGCCACAGAGAGTGTGAATTGACAGAATGCAGCGTTTGATTCACTATGAGAATGGATTAGATTTATTCTGTCTATCATTCTTAAATGTATCAGCAGTTTGAAATCTATAATGAAAATAATCCTGATCCTGATGTTGGGACTACACTTCAAGCTTTCACCCAACAACTTGATCCTTGTTTGCAGAAATTAATTTTTTTGTATAAAAAAATTTGGCTTCATCAATAAGGATGGAAACCCTATCTACACATTATTAAATCTTCTATGAACAAGAAATACTGTGTAATCATTCTTCAGTAATACAATATTCAGATTACAATCAACAAGGAGGCCGAGATTGCTCAGTCTGTTAGAACGTTGGCCTAAGTAACATAAGATGCGCGGTGTTTGGTACGACACTTTTTATAACCGGTGGCGGTTGTGTTAAGCAGAAAGCTGAGAAAGGGCCTGGTTTGTGCTGTTGCGATTGTATCCTTGGACAAGACACTTCGTCCTAACTTACTGCTCTGGATGTTATGCGACGGACCTTCCATATGTTGTTCAATGAGGCTTTTTCAAGGAAACTGCTTTAAATAACCCTCAATATTCTCGGCAAGATGAACCCAGCTAATGATAGGAAAACGGAACTCCCTTCCCTCGTTTATAAAGAATTCCCAAACTTAACAAGAATGAATATAAATTGCATTTGTTGCTGGTTTCGTTTACTTGTTCTAAAACGTCTTACTACCATTCTCATTAATAGCAAATTAGGGTTACTGTCTTCCAAGTCCGTTTAGTCGAGAAGTCAAATAATTGATATGTGGATTTTAAAGAGCTTGAAATAACGTTTGATCAGAATATTTTATGTTTCAAATCTATGCTTTACGATATCCTATTCAAAACTGAAGGAATTCGTTTTCTTTTTATTTGAACTTTCTTCTCAAAAAAGAAAGATACAGACTGTTGACATATACTGATGTGTATCGGAACAAACTATGAGGGTTCATTATGAGTACAATATAGGACAATAGCTCTTCCAATAAAAGTTTAAGTAAGCCAGCGTTCAAAAGAATTTTGTTGAAGTCTATCAAGGCCGGGTGAAATCGGTCGAAAGAAAGGAGATCGCTATAAATACACAACAGTCAAATAAAACTGTCTTAGGAAAACAGACGTCAACTAATGGTGATTAAACTGATTAAGTTTGCATGATTTTTGATAAAAATTGCTGTAGACAACTTCACAGTGGTAGCACTGTAATGTTGGTATCAGATCTACACTAGATCGCAGCGTTCCAAAATGCACAACTCGTGCATTCGCCTCAAACAGCCCTATATATTATATTTAATGTTATAAATGTGACATACGACATTATTATCACAAAAAAGACAGGTCACCACCTGGAGATAAGAAACACTAAAGCGTCAGCAACATCATATGCTTATACCAGAACGTCATCGCCATATTTACGTGTACCACTGCCTCATCAGACAAACATAACATACAAGATAGCAACCTCACAGAAAGACAATCATCATCAGCCATCATAAAACCAAATATCACATCGTTATCGCGCAAAAAAGACATCCACGTGGTTATACGATAAGGTAGATCAAAACAACTCGATGTGATCATGCATGATTAAACAATATGAGCGCACAAACAATAATGAACTACACAGATCTAGAAGTAAAGCAAGAGCTGAAAAGAAGTATAATGCAATTGAGACCGCCTCGAAGATTCCTCCATCATTCAATCAATGAGTAAACATTTGTATTCGAGAAATTGATTTAACATCTAACAATTACTTCAGTCAACCTAGAGGGATTGGTTCTCAGTCCTACGTCCTACCTGTAGGACAGGATTGGGGTATATTGTGAATGTTTCGTCGCTAGATAGCAATAATCCTGCATCCCCATTGCAATCCCAATGGGTCTGTTCCCATTATCACGATTTTCGTGCACCTGACAAACCCACAACACAACGTTGTGAGAAATGCAGATTGATTAAGGTTATGGTGGAGTTTTACGGATACCATGCTAATCTCACTAAGAATTATTCTATTCCTTTTTGCGATTTAAAGATTGAAGTATTTGCTGCTTGTTATTATGGCTGTGATTATTGTTTCTATATTTTCATTTCAGAACGTGACATCACTTACTTTGATTGACCTAAATCTACACGAAAGGTGTTATCAATGAAGCAGATGTCGCTTACTTTTCCGCAACACATGGTCTTATTCTAATACTTTTTCAATGTAAATCCTTCTTTAATTTTGGAATAATTTATGTTCTGAAGAATTTGTTATCATGTTGGCAATTTTTTACGCTTATACATCTCACTGTTTTATGAGCATATGAGTTATCTTTTTTGTCAGTATGAAGTACTGCTTTGAGTGACAAAAAACAGAAATTTGCATATCATATAACATACAGGAAGAGCTGGCAGTGAGGAACCATGTTTCTCTCCTTGTCGATGCTTTAGTAGATTTAGGGACGCTGAGGTCAAGTTCGACTTTGAGGGGACTCTGAGAAGCATTGAATTTGTGTCTTTTTTTTTTTTTTTTTTTTTGTCGATGGTGTGGTTGAACTTCTGAAGATGTTATAATTATTTTTCTTGAAAAAAGCTTTGGTAACCTTTCGAGACCTTTTTATTTTATGTTGCCATGGAAGTAAATTTCTGCTGACGCACGTTGTGGTTTTAATCACCTTTATCTTTGAACACGTTTGAAAGTCAATGAATACAAAAACCTGCTGCCCAGTTACACATTTGTCATATACCAATAATCCTGTGTGTTAAAGAATACAATAAAACACACGTTTGGAAGAAGTACGATTTTTATGATAGAGCGGGTAAGATATTTCTTTATGTTTACACAATAAGTTCTTCCTTATTAAATCATCTTCGTCATGACGCACGCCTGCTCAGTTGTCTCTGCGTGCGCTTTCTCTCTTTGTCTACCAGTAAGGTTATAGTAAGCCGTTTGTGACCAGCTCATTGGTTTCGCTGCAACTTTCTGGTACTCATCGATGACCTCTGCGTCACATGGCCCCCACAAAACACTTGGCTGGAACAACTTTCCTAGGCCCTAATAAATTATATATTAATACGTAAGATTCCCGTCCATCCTTTGTAGTTATACAATTTATTATTATTAGTCTCATGTTGAGATTAAGGCGAAAACTATTGAAATTTTGAAAGTAAAAACCTATATTTTCTAAAGACCATTCGATACAAATAGTTTAGCATGCGATGATTGGAGTAACGCTCGTCAGTTCAACACCACGCCAATGATATGTTTGTAATAACAGACATTTTTTATTCACTATAAGAAGACAACAGCGACTGGCTTTCCTTTATATTTTTCTGATAAACAACAAAAAACATATCTTTCTGATTAATCTCATCAATAAATTAGGCGAAAGTCAATGCATACCAACACACTCACACATATTTCTAAATAATGATAATGACTGAGAAAATAAGAAAATACTTTTAAAACAATTATTGTGAAAGGACGAATTTTATAATACAAATAGTAAATAATTTACAAATATTTACCTTTTTGGTAAGTGCAGTTTTTCTGTTTCTGTACAGACTTAAACAAGCACAGACAATCAGGGGTACCATGGGTAACAAACTGATCAGAATGCCGATTCCTTCCATGGCTCTCGGATAGTGGTAGCTTCCAAATACTGGAGGTTTGTACCGAACAATACCGAGTACCAGGAACACCTGTCAATGCAAGTACAATGTATAAGGAACACCTGTCAACAGTCAATACAAGCATTAGTAACACCTGACAAACAAAAAAGTACCCGAAAACTACAGAAAATACAAGTATTAGGAACAGTTGGCAGCAGTGATTACAAGCATTAGAAACACCTGGCCAAAAATCAATACAAGTACCAGGAACACCTGTCAACTGTCAATACAAGCATTAGAAACACCTGACAAACAAAAACAAGTACCAGAACACCTGTCAACAGTCGATACTAGTACCAGGAACTCCTGACAACAGTCAATACTAGTACCAGTAACACCTGTCAACAGTCGATAGTAGTACCAGGAACTCCTGTCAACAGTCGATAGTAGTACCCGGAACACCTGTCAACAGTCGATACTAGTACCAGAAACTCCTGTCAACAGTCGATAGTAGTACCCGGAACACCTGTCAACAGTCGATACATGTACCTGGAAACCACAGTAAATACAAGTATTAGGAACACATGTTAACGGTTAATACATGTATAAGAAAGATCTGTCAACAGCAAATACAATTACCAGGAACATTTGTTAACGGTCAATGTAAATACCAGGATCATCTGTCAAATATGTACAATTTCCCTAGGTACATATGGACACATCTACCTTGATGCGTTTCAGTAAATATGTATCAAACTATATTTTTGCAATTCTTCGAGTGTATGTCAGGACAGTTAACGGCAGGAGATGTTCTTTCGACCGATATTTCTTGAGATACTCATGTATAACCATGGATAACCATGGATAATTACAATTAAATAGACTTTTCAGATAATTTATCGTTGGAGGGGGTGGGTTAAAACAGTGTAACAGTGTGTATGTTGAATCCATAAAAATAGCATGGGATTTATTTGTTTCCTTATGACTGTGTAAATAATCAACATGTACTTACAATGAAGAGGACCGGACAAATGAATGCCGCCGCAAATCGTATAATATTAGGCATCGTCCTCCCATTCATCAATCTGATGTTTTCGTCTAACATGTGTCCCCCTTAAAAGAAAAGAACGTGAAAACTTTGTTTAAAGGTTAAAGAAATCGGCTCTGCTCACTAGAACGTTAAAAAGTCCGTGGTAAGAAAGATGACGTAACGGATGGCTATTTCTAAATCAGTATGGTGTGTTGATAGTGATGCATCATACAGACCGGTTTGAATAAACGTCCGTCAATGACATCAAAAGATGACATCGTACGTGAATTATTCGTATTGCTATTTAACCTACCATAAATCCACATAAAAATGATGCATTCTAGACTGGCCATCACAAAGACGCCCATGGATGCGGCGTACCAACCGATGATCTGGTACATGTAAGCTCCAGCCTGTAAAAATGACAAAGATTATGAAACAAAACTGAAAAGCACATTATTTGGCGTTTTATAACAAAGGTTGTTAAAATTGGTCAAATATTGCATATTCAAATCATTGTGAAGCAGAAACTGCATGTCGCCACACACCACAGTTGCCAATAATATACTGTTGCCAAACATCACATCCGGTTATACTATACTGATAACGGACAAACCAGTAGCTACTCCATACCGTTGTTACACTGGGAGTAAGTCTTCAGTTGCCCACTATCACAAGGATAAAACAAATAAATCGCAGCCCCTTCCCCTCAAAAAAGACACGGAAGCAGAAAGCAACACCTTTACTTATCGGAAGACCGCCCTTAAATGACCATGATAGTTGAAAGGACGTTAAGCAGTATAAAAAAATAACCCTGTACAGGTATTCCAACAACCAAAAGGATGTTTTCATTATCATAATTTTTGCATTAGAAATTGAACACAAAGAACTATGATTATTTCACGAGATGATGTTTGGGAACCACTATATATCTTTGGGCAATATGACGCTAGCATTCCATGAAGTTGTAGTAACACCGCTGTCACTTTAAGAAAAGGGATTACCCGGATTTTATGGAGATCTTTCAAAGGTAGTATGGCGTCAAATAAAAAGCGGACGCTTACTTTTCGAAAGTTATATTATATACATACAGATGTCGTCGGCGTTCGCATTACGTTATATCTTCATCGATTGGGAGTGAAAATGTCGATCAGAATGTCTAACTCAAATATCGCAACAAAATAAGATAATTCTTTAATAAATGAAGATCATATAACATACCTGTGAACAGAAAGGGAGATTGACCAGGAAGGCGATGACAAACATGACGACAAATGCAGTCTTTGGTCTGTTTTTGAGACCAGGAACATACTTTTGAAGGCTTCGTTTCAGAATTACGTCATACATTATCTGTGGATAAACGTTAAGCAGTAAACTGATGAAAGTCATAAAGATGGATATGACTTTATTTTCCTAGTGGTTTTATCATGGCATAAAACCAGAAGGACGAGTAAATAATGATTCTCCTTAGAAACATAAGTATGTGGCGATTAAGACGCTATGAACAATATCAAAGGAAGGATAGTCATATTGTATTTATAGTATATCACATTACCATTTACACCCTACAAATAAATATAATGTACAACACTTAGATATTCATAACATGCATCAATCATTTATTATAGATTAAGAAGTCAACAGATTTATACCAACCATGATATCCGATGTTGCCACCAGAAATGCAAGAAAGAATATCACCAGCCAAAGGTTGGGCAACGGGAAGAAGGAAAAGGCCCTGGTAAAGGCAACAAAAGCTGCCGAGTTGCCTATCAAGAAAAGTTTTGCATTTTGTTTAAAGCGAGTCAGCATGTCGTGGTCGTTCTGAAAAGGATTTGCTTTTTTAATTTGTTGAAAAACGCTGTTTCTGCTCATTTGCACATCTTAATATGGCCTTGTTAATCGAGTGAATTTATTTTAAGTACAAGGATTATACAACGATTGAGCGAAGAGAGACAACTCTTACGTTTCGTGCTATGCTGACTAATAGTTTAATACTACTCATTAAGGAGACCAAAAGGAAACTGAAGGCATTTTCAAATATTTTATAATACAAAAATTATTGATCTACACACCTGTACAAGCATAAATCACAGGAGTTACATTCATACCTAATCTGATCGCATCAATGGATAACTCTTATATCGAAACAAATCTATCGAAAACCAAATCAAACATGCATGCTCCAAGATTATGTTTAAAATTCACCGTTTTCGCTGCCCCGTATTTGTCATTCAAGAAACCTTGTACATGTGTTCATATAAATATACATTGTTGCGATGTCAACGCATTGTCAGCATTTCAGTGACGACTCCTTGTTTACAACTGTCGTCTGTAGTCTACCGTCTGATATATTGGTCTCTTATCGTGCTTTACGATATTTTGTTTTGTGTAAATAGAATGTTAGCATTACCATTTCATACCAAACGTAATTTTAGCAAGAAAAATTGAATGTACGGAATGTACGGAATGTACGGTAAGTTTGTCACAAAACTGCTAACGTTGTATCAACATCTAGACCATACATCAGCTTAGACTATATTCAGCTGTCTGACTACATATCCGCTAGACGGAAACGAAGACTGGGGTCAGGGCGTCACCTGCAAATGGTTTATTTGAAATTTGACATTTACTTCAGACCCAAGTTCTTATTGTTGGTGTGATGTTGAATGTAACACACACGTCAAGTGTCTGTTGAAACCTTTCGATTTGAGCAATCTTGATGGACAGATGCATTAGGCCCATAATTCAATAACTTCCTATAACTTCCTTAATTTCCTTGTAATCAGATAAGGTTAGAACAGCGTCCACTACATATAAATGTTCTGAAAGAAAAACCAAATATCAGCCGAACAAAATGACAGGACAGATGACTTTGTCCATTCAAAATCTAAAGATTGCAATCAAGCCTACTCAACGGCTGGCATGGTTTGAGAGGAGAACCTTTCTTACAACTTGTGCTGTTTACCTGAAAATGATGATGTAGTCAGCGATTGATTTAATTGCGAGAAAAATTAAGCCTCTGGGGGAAGAGGAGGCAACACGCTGTTTACAAATAAATTATTACCGTTCACCCAATAATGCTTCAGTAGAAATTCGAATTGGAAGGGCCAAACATGAAAACTATCCTTCTATTCTTTCAAAGGGATTTTTTTAATATGGGCATATTGGACCACGCCCTGATGCCCCCTTGATTCCACACTCACCAATTATACAAAATGTTTTAACCTTCAAACAGGATATGCATATGAAGAAACTCACAACCTACTCGGCAGTGCAAGGGTAAAATATTAACATGTTGCCTTAGATAATTATGTCAAGTAACCATGTATAACGAGAACCAATCAATATCTTATCTGTTTGACAGGTTAGACATGTTTAGTCTGGCTACCTTCGTCTGTTAACGGGTCTCTCATCCTTATTAGAAATAACCCTTTCTGTATATTGATATTGAGTCTGTATTTAGATACGTACCATAGTACATCCTCTGTACGTATCACACACACATTAATAAACAAAAACAATACGCTATGACTTGTGGACTTCCTTTCTCCTCCATTTTGGAATATTTGGTGAAAATATCAATAAGAAAGATAAGACTGTAGTTGGATGCGACAGGGACCAATAATGGAAATAATGCAGATTATCATTTTATTACTTATATGTAGGAGTGTAAGCATTCTTCTATTCCAACTTGGTCTGAAGCATCTTTGGGTAATGTGAAATCAGATTTGTATAAATGGTGAACTCTGCCCCGGAACGGGATCCAATAGGGGAATTAAAGCAAAATCCATGTAGAAATACCAGGGTTCCATCGCAATTTTGTCAGACAGATCATTGGATGAAAAACAATCGATTTTATATAAAGGGTGTGTCATTGTTGCCTTGGTTATTAGAAGTGGGGCCGAGTAGAGGGAGTAGTGAAAAATCCTTATGCTGCAGGAATGTCTAGATTCTGTCTCAGAAAACTGAAAATGTACTGCAAGAATCTAAAAAAATTCCCAAACTACATCAATTTATTCATATGGGTTTGGTGTGCATCGGAAGTGTTTACACCTCTGCAGTAACTAAGAATTGATTAAGGTATATTGTTTTAAGTCATTTCTTTCCATGACGTTGAGTAAACAGTATCATAATAATTTGATATTGCTAAGAATGGTGGTTAGTAGTTCTGACGAAGGTTTGATTTTTACAGCTAGACAAACCAGCCATAAAACGTTGTTGGATTCTTGTAAAGTTTAATAATCCAATTTAAACGGACATCCATATCCTTATCACTAATAGGCAATCTAGGTAAATGTAATACTGTACATGATTAGCCAGTATTTCTTCTTAATCTATATGTAGTGTTTCCTTCGTTATTAAGCAAGCCTTGTCCCTTTATGTATACAGAAAATGTAATTATGTTTGCAGACAAGGGTACTTTGATATGGATTTCAAACATTTCCAGTGTTTTCATAGATATAAACAAAAATCATACTTTTGTGCTCAAATAAGTATATGGCCTATTTTACGCAACAACCAATGTCATATGAAGACTAAGTCATGAGGGAGATCGATGGTGAAAAACAAAGCACAAATAAAGAATGAGCAGACATGAAAAAAGGAAAAAGACAAGCACAACTACTCAATAGGGACAGCCAAACTACATTAGTTTCTTAAACTTCACATTCGTAGAAGGCGCAGAAACAAGAAATGTAGAAAGAATGTGAGCTATATCCCAAAGTCAAGACAAATCATATACTGTTGCCAATATAATGAAACCGTACCGATTGTCGAGCTACCGTGACATTGCTGTTACGACATTATAAACCCAAACCAAAAGCGAAAGTGTCGCCAGTAAGGTCACCAATTTGTCGTTGGTCGTGAAGTCGGAGTATTGCACGAAATAGTCTCTAAAGGCTGGTGGTGGTGAGGGTTTACTGTTCATTTCAATCTATTGTCAGTCCGTCCGTATGTAAGTAATTCTTATTATTGATATTTCTAATTTTTCAAAGGCAGGTTTCTATTGACCTCTAGTTGTGCGTTGTCAGCTTTGACGCTGATCGAGATAAGGCAACGGCCTATAATCTTAATTTATGACAATTTTACCTTTTAATTGCTATATCCATAGAGGTTCTGCGTGGATAAGTTTAAAATATTTCACCAAATTGGAAAGAAGGGAAAGATTCAACAGATGAAGACGTATGAAGATAATACAATACTTTTGGGATCATAACTCACCTGGTTGTTTTGACATTACTGTGAGTTTACTTACCTGCAAATAGTGATTCTCCGAGCGGCATGCCACTCTCGTGTGCCATTACCCCGATAACAGAATAGATGACCATGCTGGTGAAGATACTACCAAACACGTCCATAACACACGGGGCGACGGTAGCGCTGAGAAGGAAAAGATATGGGCATTATCTTAAGCATGTCGGCAATTTGATTCGTCTAAAGCAAAAGAGGTGTTAGCTTGAATGTGATTAGGTTTTTCATTTCTTATAACGTTGTACCTTATCAAGTTTGTCCGGAATCTAGCCCGACTCCCAATCTCTATATTACCACCATTAGCTGTACAGAGGGAGAATGCAGCGGCAAAACCGGCCTGGACCCACAGCTATCAAAAAAGAAATAATTAGTTAAAACCAATTCAAAACATTCTTGAGCTACAACAAGGAAGAGCGTGTTCCTACATTATAACATTTAGTAAATTGTATTTCCAACTCTTGATATTATTCGTCTTTTGTTTTAACTCAATAAAATTTTAGGTTTAGAGATAAGATGACAGTTCAGATTCCATTTACTGAAACAATCCTAAAACGAAAGTTGAGAAAGGATGGGACCAACTTGAAGATCATGAAAATCAAATGACTATAACTACATCATGAATGACATAATTACAAACCAGCAATACAAACACTTACCGATATACCTCCATCACAGATGTTATGCCAACGATTCAACATAGCCGGCATCAGGCAGACCTAAACCTGTTGTTCAAACTAAATTTCAAGAACATACCGAACGTTTTGGCAATGACTGTATTTGTATTAGATATGTTGTGAAGCTTCAACAAATACCTGACACATTAAAATACAAATAAAAAAATAACACTCTTTTTAAGGGTAAAATATAGAATTACTGTTGAAATCTTTCTCTTTGTTAATATATGCGCGGTGACCTTTCATAGGCAACAATAAAAATATCTTCAATACACTCTTTGGCAAAATTCCCACGTTTTTATTGCTTTTATTATATATTATAAACATCAAACATTGTACAATGAATACTCTGTTTATTCAGTTGATGATATTTCGCAAATAGAATTAAGTTAAACTCAATTTATATTTCATACAGTAATCTATGTTACGCGAAACAATTCATCACAGTTTTTTTTTATGCATAACAGGTATTTAAGGAAATATCAATGACACTCTTAATAGTCCTCATTGCTATGTTTTATAGTCCTTTTCCAGACATATAAAGTACAAATATTAAGCTGAACGTTTTACCTCTAGATCCCAGAGTTTCGTGATATCCGGTGTCAGGAAATATCGCATTCCAGCCCCGGACCCTGGTGCAAGAAGAGTCCGTACAAATATTACAAGCAACAACAGGAGGGGTAAAATCGTTACCACGTACATAACCTGCAACAGACGTATTGATATTTAACAAAAATTAGATATACAAACTAAAAATATGTCCATTTAACATACATGTTCATTTTTTGTTGGCTTGCAAGGTGAGCACGTGTGGATTACGAGCGTGTTTCTGATCGTGCGGAACCGATGTCTACTTCGTAGTGTATTCACACAGCAGTACACGGGTATTGCTGAAAGCGAGCAGGTTACAATAGGCTGACAATGGACAAATCAACACTGAGGCTTTAGCAGGGAGTTTTATCTACCATTTGTAGGAATTGTACCTGCCTTGTTTTTTGCAACATTCACAAGAGACGACATTTTCTGACATTAAGGAGGCTCGACCCTTTCACAATTCACCAAGATTTTGTTTAAACTTTTACATAAATGTTATCTCATGTGTATATGATGGTCTGAAAATCTAAGCATTTCAATGAGTTGATAAGGTTTGATGAAAAATGCCACATTTCTCTAAAAAAATTTATTTCGTGAACATCATAAAGAAAACTGAACAAATAAATCTATATCTACTCTAAAATATTTTATTTAGGAAAAATGATATTTATAAAGTTGGTTACAATTTGTTTTAGAGGACATATGTGACTATTTACATTTTAAACACTGACATACATGTAGAACATACTTGTAAAAACTACAAGTAAAAGAGTGAAATCAATATCACCGGAATTCTGTTTATCCTATAGTTATCAATTTACATTGTTTCTGGGGTAGGTTGTCTCCCTTGCAATTATCTGAAACCTTTTCGAGCAGTATTATTACATAGCACATAAAGTAAGCCTGTAACGCCCACCTGGTTTCAAACATATGGATACGACCAAGAATACTCATGTTGTCCTAAAATAGCATAAACTGTTACAACTTCATTTCTATGTTTTCTTCAGTTCATGTTTTACATTATATGTTGCCTTTGCCAATATACACAATTCAACGACTCGACGTCCCACTTTCCAATCCGATAATCCAGTTAGGGTACTGTCATCCAATCCTGTCTCACTCGTCACTATACTGTCACTATTGGGACCAAGCGTTGATATCTTTTACTTCAACTAACGTCATTAGCTTGGAACTGTTAATCACAGCTATTGTTTTCGTTACAATGCCTTTCAAAAGACGTAACACGTCCCCTTTCGTCTATTGTTGACATCGCGACGTACTTTACCTGCTTTATATGCAGAAAAGAGTCTTATTAAGTGTCTACTGACGTGTCACTATATATTTTGTCTTTAAGCTTACGCCCTTGTTCGACTCTTACGATTCAAGCAATGGGTACATCAGGTACAGGTCCGACGCCTTATTTTAGTGACAATTCATTGTTAGATAAAGCGTAAACACCGTCAACAGACATGTAAAACGTGCAAGACCTTAAAAAAGTTCACGATATAACCATTGAGCAAACACGTACATTACCCGCGGCAGACGGGTAAAAATACATCCAAATATGTCGTGTTTACAGCCGGCCAATATTTTTTGAAGTGACTGAAGAGACAATACTAAATGTTCTTCGTCATGCTAGGGGCCAAAAATGTGGGAAACACGAGAATGGCGAGGGTCGATATCATGTGTTTTGGTTTCGATTTGTATTGTGTAACGACTTGTGGTCATTTAAGTACGACCCACTGTTGCTAAGATGTTTTTGTGAAAGTCTCCGACATGGCCGATATTGATTTAAGGTGAGGCTCGGCATAAACGTTTACAAAAAAAAATTCGAGGCGAAAAGACCAACAAAGCTAGCTACAAAGCAATCGGAAGGATAGAAAAAAAACCTGTCGGAACATGTAATTATGCTTTTGTTTAACATAGCTTGTATAAAAATGAAAAAAAAAACGGTTGCATTTTTCCTTAAAATGTCGAATTTGTAAAGGTTTCAGATATATGTGGTCTTTTTACATGTAGTGAAATGACAACCAAAGCAAGGACGATAAATGATTGTGTTTAGAGAGTATGGACCTCACCTTCCCAATAGACTTTACGTCCTTTATCACACTGGCAGCGCAAAGAGTCGTGAACACCAGTAAGCAGAGGCACAAATCCCATCGAAATGTTCCTAAATCATACACGGAACCCGAAACTTGTAGTATCTTGTGTCTATAAACAAATCAATGGGATCAGTACACCAACTACATAGAGTCCGACACGTGTAGTATCGTGCTTATACGTAAGTATAAAAACAGGTAAGAATACCGCGGAGTGGAACAATGTTTGTCTGTTCCATGTCTCACACATAATATATGTAACATCAATATATTCTTTATTTTTTTTAATTGGTGAATAAGAAATTTGACAACTTACAGGAAAAACTCCTCTTCTGCTAGCACTGGAGGTGCTGTAATTGCTGACGACACATTGTGTGCCGATATTTCGCCCTGTGATATATTCTGTGTTGAATTTGCTGGCAGAGTGATATAAAGATCCACACAAGCTGGGGTATTCCATGGATTGTCGCATCGTTTCCATGGCAACGGAGACATGAAGCTATATCCGATATACTGCATAATCCACAGTCGGAAGGTGGGTGCTATGATGAGATATTCAAAATTGATGATGAACATCCCTATTCCTAATCCTGAGGGGAAAAAAATACATTTATCATTTACATAATTTAGAGAGAAAAAAAAACCCGAATAACAAATATACTAAATCCACGGAAGTATATTCGGTGTCTCTGTCTCTGTCCTTCTTTGTAGGGTATTGTGTTCTGTTACGCGTTTCATTGTACATGTCGTTATACGTTACATACCTATCGTTTGCAAACCTAAATTGCTTGTTTTCTAGGTCTATTCAACCTGATACCCGAGGCCTTTCCTACTGGCCCACACCGGTCTCCTCTTATTAGTAATCATGGGATGGAGACATATGAAGAGAAAATGTTAAAAAAAGAAAATAAAACTTTCATATACCGCATAATCATCGCTTATAGTGAACTTCCGTAAAGAACACAAGGTAGTATCATTATTTTTCAATCGATACATTAACAGAAAATCATTAATAAATACAAATAAACGAATGCTGGTACTATGTCAACCAAATTAAGTACCTGAATGAAACCTTGTCAATTTGTGAAATATCCTATATGTTTTTGGCTTTACACTAATGTATTTGTCATATATGACACTATGTCAAATCTAGCTACGTTAACAATACAGAATTACTTTAGCCCACCACTATTAGATAGCGGAGTGTTAAAATGCTCCTTTTCCGTGTCAACGTAATCATAATCAAAATTCAATAATTCAACAAACTTGAGCAAAATATGAACAAATGAAAGATTTGCAAGGAGACTCATGAAATGTAAAAGGAGAATAAGACGGTGTTCTGGAAGAGTAAGCGTCTTCTGCTTCACTTACGGCACTCGTCATGTAAGTCTATGTCAATCCATGTAAGTAATGATACGTCCCCAAACGAGAATAAGGTTTACAAAACCAGAAACAGGCAAAGAAATGATCATTAAACACTTCCAGCTTCATATCTCACAAAGAAATAGAATAGTTCTTAATAGGATCACTATGGCGACCGTAAAACTTCCCCATAATTTTCATCAACCAGTATTTTGTGAACCTCTGTGTTACGAGTTTGTCCGTCAGTTGACGACTTATAGCACGAAAACCGTGATAATGAGAATATGCTCTCGAATATCGAATCAAATGACTTGTAAATACCATTGGCTGAAGATTCGGGGATATCGCTAGACAGAAATAGAAAATTCACAATAGGGAAATTGAAATCCTTAGTTTATCATACAGTTTGTCTCGAACTAAGTCATTAACAGCCATGGAGGAACGCATTGTATGTTAGTGTGATAATTCATCAGACCGCATCAGTTTTTGCGAGGACAGATATAAAACGCCTTACATGAAATAACTTATAAATCTAAGTACTCTTACCTTTCATGATAGGTGATATTTCCCACACGTCGAACATGCCCCGACCTGAGAACTGTGCGACAGTTACTTCTAGGTAGTAGACAGGAACAGCTACAACTGCAGCACTGAAGATGAAGGCCAGAATAAAGGTTCCTGAAATTATATCGATATCAATTACTAAATATGAAACGCTGACACCGATTATAAGTAGCCTCATATCGGGAGCTGTGATGGAGGGGGTCAATCCGTCATATTGTTTTATGTTGCATCGTGGCCGTTCCCATTTCCGGATTGTCTTTCCCTGAAAAGACACTGAACTTCTTGACACTGGAACTTAATAGTTGGGGTATAGGTTCACCTTGGTGACGCGGTGTGTCATTAAAAAAAACCAAAACAAGCGCTTGAATGTCTAGCCATTCACCTTTTCTTCGTTATTACCACAGTTCGTCCATTTTAAAGCACGAAAAATAAAACAAACAGTTAGCTTACCAGCCCGAAACTACCAGCTTACCAGTCCCGGCACAACCAGCTTATCAGTCCCGAAACTACCAGCTTACCAGCCCGAAAACTACCAGCTTACCAGTCCCAGAACTGCCAGTTTACCAGTCCCGAAACTACCAGCTGACCAGTCCCGGCACAACCAGCTTAGCAGTCCTGAAAATGCTAGCTTACCAGCCCGAAACTACCAGCTTACCAGTTCCAGAACTGCCAGTTTTCCAGTCCCAAAACTACCAGCTTACCAGCCCGAAACTACCAGCTTACCAGCCTGAATCTACCAGCGTACTAGGCCCGGAACTACCAGCTTACCAGTCCCGGAACATCCAGCTTACCAGTCCCGGAACTACCACCTTATCAGTCCGGGAACTACAAACTTACCAGTCCGGGAACTACCAGCTTACCAATCCCTAAACTACTTGTTTACCAGTCCCGAAACTACCAGCTTACCAGTCCCGGAACTACCAGCCTACCAGTCCCGGAACTACCAGCTTACCAATCCCGGAACTACAAACTTACCAGTCCCGGGAACTACCAGCTTACCAGTTTACCAGTCCTGAAACTACCAGCTTACCAGTCCCGGAACTACCAGCTTACCAATCCCGGAACTACCAGCTTACCAATCCCGGAACTACCAGCTTACCAGTCCCGGAACTACCAGCCTACCAGTCCCGGAACTACCAGCCTACCAGTCCCGGAACTACCAGCTTACCAATCCCGGAACTACCAGCTTACCAGTCCCGGAACTACCAGCCTACCAGTCCCGGAACTACCAGCTTACCAGTCCCGGAACTACAAACTTACCAGTCCCGGAACTACCAGCTTACCAATCCCAGAACTACCAGCTTAACAATCCCAGAACTACCAGCTTACCAGTCCCGGAACTACCAGCTTACCAGTCCCGGAACTACCATCGCTTGGAACAGTCTTCAGTGTGAAGCAATAACATCAAAACAAGTTCTACCTTCATATAATTAATTACGTATCATTGGTTGAATATACAAGTCAAAGATTTATTTCATTACGATCTCTTGAAATAAAACCTGAATATTTTCTTCATTCCAAACGGTAATTTTGTCGTGTATGTAAATTCAAACGCGTGAAATTCAAAACCAATGTATATGTGTGTTTCGGTATCAATCACGCTAAATCAATAATCTGAAAACATGGTGCGAGCGGGAACGAGTAGAACTATATGGGGTGTATCAAATATATGTGGTCGATTACAACGATGTCAGAAATATATACATGTATTGGCATTGACATTCCATCTGTCAATAACATGACCACTGACTAAATAAAGCAACTCAACATCGGTACATCTATCGCCTGCTTATAATACTAGACTGGAAATTCTTGGTCCGTTTGATTTGAATGTCATTGTGCTTTGAGTTGCACCGTTGAATATTTAGGCTATATCCCGACAATACAAAATATTAAAGGATATGTCTTCATCACTGCTCAAAGCATGTCAAAAGATCAATTGATTATCACCAAGACACGTCAGGTGCGTGACACATGTTACACTATCAGCCACCTCAGCTGTTTGTAATTATCATTGTGTGATAGATGGTGTCTTTGAAGGGTCCCAAACAGAAAATTTGTATTGAATGCATATTAAAACGTGCGCAATTCAAGGCCATGATATATGTGTGAGGTGTGTAAATTGTTCTAGTGTCATCCATCTATAAAACATATCATTGCGCATGCGGCGGGAAATACTAACGTGACTCTAACCAAATTTAAACACTGTTTGAAGAAAATTGTAAATATTTTCTACCATGCATCTAAACCGTGAATTTTTCTTGATATTTCATTCATTTCGTTTAACTTCGGGTAACTTGTCAGGAGCGCTCGTCAGGGGCGTGCCTGGGGCTAAATTCGGGATACGAAAAATTGCTAGACGGGTCCGGGGGCATGCTGCTCCGGAAAAAAAATTGGGTACCCGGGTTAGGCATCGATTTTTATTGCAGTTTTAGCACTTTTAGATTCTGGACGAAGTATACGCGACTGCGTTTTTGCGTAAGCCTAGGCACGCGTCTGCTCGTGTCTATAAATAGCAGCAAGGCATGCCAGGTGCAGCAGTGTGTTTCAACAGGTACACATATATAGGGGTACCCAAAATGGAACGCCTCTTATATTCTGTCCGTTTATAGGAAATACATAATCTTGAATATTTTTCTCCATTTTTATTGACTTCAATAACTTTATCATTAATCTAAGTCATTCATCATAAATGTTTAATTCAGTAATACTTTTCATTATGTAAAGACATGATAGAATGTTGGTATTGTCGCATCGCACCACTTTCCGTAATTTTTCTATAATTTCAGTATTCTAAATTTTGAATAGAGATAAGCAACATAAAAGACAATGGCTGACAAGAAAATGCCAGAATAACTTATAGATACTTTTTTTCTTGTTTAGATTAGTTAATACTCACTTGTATTGCAAAATAAAAAAATATGTGTCAAATTATTTGAGAAATGGATATCTCGACCGAGTTCTATTTACGGTAGCTCACCTTATAACGATAAAGGAAAATATCAATAGTATGTCGTTCGATTACAACGGTATATTAAATATATGTATCTGTAGCAAAACATGTAGCACGGAAGCTTTGTATCAAGTTATTGATCAATTGAAAGCTTGACACCTTACACTATTGGTAGGGTAGGGGAACATTTTGCACTGGAAGAAAGAGAATGGAGTTGTTGAAATTCAGCTGGAAGTCAAACACTAAGGTGACGTGAACATTGTTTAAATTTGATGATGGTAGAATGATCTATTCTGGAGAAATTGACAAATGTATTCATTGTCCCTATATAGGGTATATGGGAGGCGAGACATCAAAGCCACGGTCTCCACAGCGAAAGCTAGAATACAGGGGAAGGTTAAAGAATGTGTATGTGTATCTCGCAGCTGATGCATGTCGAATTGTCACGTGGTGTCCTTCGCAGCCACCGCAGATGATTGGGATGGGTTTAACCATTAGAAGATATTGATATAACATGTTCACTTATGAAATAAAGCCAATCAACATCGGTACATGTATTCACTACTTGTAATTCTAGACTGGCAATTCTTGGTCTGTTTGATATGAATACCGTTGTACTTTTAGTTAAGTTGCACGTCAGGTATAAGGCGTTTGCCACACTGCCAGTCATCACTTCTAGTTGTGTATCATCATTGTGTATGATCAGTGGTCTGTGAAATGTCCCAGTAACGTGAACTTTGCTCAGAGAATATTGTCACAAAACTGACGCTTACTCATATTTTCAACATTGCCCTGCTTTTGTACATTTCATAATAAACTAGATTTTGCAATTGAGACTACAGTGTCGAGATGTAAATAAGTTGCAAGAGCCATACAATGCCATTGGACTCACATTACAGTTAGTAATCGTTATCGAGCAAAGCACCTTGCAACGGCTTCTGTGGTTGGTCCATACTAGATAAATGTATTTGAGTTCACAGGTAAACGAACACAATGAATTATGTGTTTCCAGGTAGCTGAAACTTTCGGTATTGAAATAATTCTACTTTTTCTGAGACGATTGTATCCAATATCTTATATGACATAGCACTATTGTGCTCAGATGATAATTCATTAAATATAAGCTGTACATTCCTTACCTCCTCCATATCTCCAGATAAGGTAGGGAAACCTCCAGAAGTCAGAACTACCTGTTGTATAACCAGACAGTGACAGTATATACTCCACTCTGTTGTCCCATGTTCCTTGATTCCGTTTTCCAATGCTTTCTTCTCACGTCGTATGTATGTATATGTTGTTGTCTACGTTCGGTATTTTCGTTATCCCTGTCGAGCGACCGTACTTGTGCGTGTGACCAGGTGAGTGGGAGTTCATGGAGGTCGCGTGAATTCCGCAGGGGTTGTTTACGGGTTATTTACCCGATGTAACCACTACAAGGAAAATATACAGGCACAGATTGCAGACTGTGGTAAGTCTATCTTAATATCTCTTTCTTCGCATTATTGCTTTCTTAGCCTTTTTCTTAATAAATATCTTTGATAAACACTCGTTGTTTGTGCGGCTCAGTCATGCGTAGCATTGTTGTTTTTATGTATAAGGCTACACTAGGGTGTCCTTTCTTAGATTGTATCTTAGTATTTGCTAGGAATGTTATTATTGTAGCTGTTTCTATAACTTCTTCCAGTTATTATAAGTTATATGTATTTTATAAGCGTATAGAATACTCAGGTGAGAACGTATGCGTGTTTGAAAAAAGTATGGAAGCCGTGAGTTGCCGTATAATGTCTCATACATTGTTTGCTAGATGGTCGTTATGTTATTCTGAGCCTGCATTAGTCGTTCATTATGTTATTACCTTTATAACTCTTCGAAATGTATCATGTACTGTGTAATTTATGAGTATTTCTGGGGATAATTTCATTTATAATAGTAGTTGATTGTGTCATAATAATGTGCAAGTGTTGTATGCGAGTCAATCTTCGTTACTATTCTTTTAAGCTTTTCCCACCGGTCACAACGACACCAGCTACCTCATCAAGGCCACGACGGTTTTATCAGTGAGAGTCGGCACCAGGGCCTTAGCAGACAGTAAGGTCAGCCAATCACGGGAACTACAGGTTTGGCATTGGGGTACACGTTCCGAGGAGCATAGCGGTACAGATATGGCATCTATAACTGTGAGCTCTACTCTGCTTGAGATTTTGTGTGGCACGCACAGCGCCAGAGTACTACTGCGGTAGTAGTTCGTCAGTTGTCTGGATAGGAATCCTCTGTCTCCATTGAATCCAGTATTTGGGGGTTTTCTTGAACTTTTCATTCCTGGTGTGAAGGACCGTTGAGGGGTGATCAACAGAGACTTTGTGTAATACTGAAGTGTAATCTTTTGTGTGAATCTGAGGGAATGTGTGAGTGTGCTTTGTTTACGTTCATGTTGTAAATAAATTGTTAATCTTTATAATGGTATTGTGTTTCATTTTCCTGATAGCTTCTCGCCGCTCGTCCTACGTTACAAATTTTTATGGCAGCGGTGGGATGACTGACGTGTTGCTATTTGGGAATTGAATTTAAGGTTGTAAACAGGTATTTCAGGTGAGGTAGTTTATCAGATATTTATTTTTCTGACCTGTTTCTGTTTGCGTCTCTTTTACTCTTTTCTTGTTTCTTATCCGTTTTCTTTCGTCACAAGAACGTTTCAGATGGATCGCACAGGTAAGCAACCAGGGGAAATTCCAGATGAACAACAGCATGTGGACTGATCTCAAGCCGTGGTGAGTATATATGCATGGTGTCTCCTTGTTTTGTTTCCTGTGTTATTTGTGTTGTCTTGTTATTTGGAATCTGTTTTGCAGGTGTGTTTGTAGCTCATTTATCTTTCAGTATGTCTACATTGCAAGAACTTATTGCTTTTGGAAAGGACTTGCACTATGAAGGGGAGCAGTTACAGGACTTTGTCCGAGATCAGCAAGCCCAAGCCAGAGAGGAACGGGAGAAAGAACGTGCTTTTCGGATGGAAGTAGAGCAGAAGAACGTCATTCTGGAACAGGCTAAGCTTGAAGCAGAGAGGGATGCGAGAGCGGAAGTTCAGCAAGAGAAAGAACACCAGAGGAAATTGGAACTCCTACGAGCAGAAGGTGGCGAGAACACAAGTGTCCATTCCGACAGGGAAACTGCTGTTCGAAGAGGTCCGAAATTGCCAGCATTCGATGAGACACGAGATAATATGGACGCCTACCTCCAGAGGTTTGAACTCTATGCTAGGGCGCAGAAGTGGGAACATAGCCAGTGGGGAGCGAACCTCAGTGCATTGTTGAAGGGAAAAGCTCTGGAAGTGTTTTCGCGTCTACCGGTTGACAAGGCTTTAGACTATGAGGAGTTGGGGAAGGCACTTTTGCAAAGGTTCGAAAAGACCGAAGAAGGTTTCAGGAAATTATTCCGGACAGCCAGACCTGAAGGAGGAGAGACATTCTCGCAGTTTGCCTCACGCTTACAGAATTATGTTGAACGCTGGGTGGAATTGAGTAAGACTGGTAAGACATACGAACAGTTGAGAGATCTTATGCTGAGGGACCAATTCATCCACTGCTGTGGACAGGATCTTTCTCTTTTCCTGAAGGAGAGGTCACCAACATCAATCATCGACATGGCGAGATTAGCAGACCAGTTCGTGGAAGCAAGAGGAACCAGGGCAAACCAGGTGATTTCTAAAGGCCAGAAGACGGGTACTAGTAAGCCACATAGTTCCGGAACAACTGAGGCGCCTGTGTCAAGAGCTCCAACGAAGGATAAGAAATGCTACAACTGTGGTAAGCTTGGACATATATCTTATGAATGCCGTGCCAAGAAGAATGCTTCTGGGAGTAAGGTTGCTGCTCTAGTTGACCAGCAGCATAGGAAAGAGAAGGATAGCGATGAGTGTAGGAATAAAGGAAGAAAGTCAAGAACAGGGTCATCCAGCCAAGAGAAAGATTCTGCGACTTTGAGTGTGTCTTGTGATGTGAGGAGTCTCAACCTACAGCCATGCCTGTGAAGAAAGGATATATTGGGGACCACAGCGTGACGGTGCTACGTGACACTGGATGTAGCGGTGTTGTGGTAAGGAAATGTCTCGTTGACGAAGGATGTTTCACAGACAGAGTTCAAGTATGTACGTTCGCCGATGGTTCGAAATTACAGACACCTGTTGTTACAGTGGAGGTGGATTCCCCGTACTACAAAGGAACAACCGAAGCCTGGGCTCTGGAGACTCCACTGTACGATCTTATCATTGGAAACATTCCTGGAGCATTACCTCCCAACCAACCTGACCAGAACTGGAAGATGAGGGAACCTGACGTTCAAGCGGTGGTGACACGTGCGCAGTCAAAGAAGAAGGATCAACCATACAAACCACTGAAGGTGCTGGATCTTGTTACAGACATTGGAAGTGTTGTGGATTTGAAGGAGGAGCAACAGAAAGATCCGTCTTTGGAGAAGTTTAGGAAACTGGCGGCTAAAGGAGAAATATACGAGCGAGATGATGGAGGATCTTCCACCATCTTTTATCAGAAAGGGATCATGTACCGTAAGTTCCATAGCCCAAGGGTGAGAAATGGTATGACCTTTCGTCAGCTGGTTGTTCCGGCAAAGTATCGCGATATAGTGATGAGATTGGCACATGACTCCATGATGTCGGGACACTTGGCAGCTAAGAAGACTACCAACAGAGTTCTATCGGAGTTCTTCTGGCCTGGTATTCAAGCGGAAGTTATTCGGTTTTGTAGATCCTGCGACATATGCCAGAGAACATTTCCGAAGGGGAGGGTGCCGAAGGCTCCACTTGGTGACATGCCTCTTATTGACACTCCATTTAAGAGGATCGCTGTGGATCTTATTGGACCACTGGAACCGGCTACAGACCGAGGGAACCGATTTATTTTGACGGTCGTGGATTATGCCACTCGATACCCCGAAGCAGTCGCACTGAAGAGCATTGAGACGGAGAGAGTAGCTGAGGCGCTCATCGATATTTTCAGCCGAGTAGGGATTCCTTCAGAGATGCTCAGTGACCAGGGGGCGCAGTTTACATCGGAGATGATGAGAGAGGTAAGCCGGCTGTTGTCTATCAGACAACTGACTACTACGCCGTATCATCCCATGTGCAACGGCTTGGTGGAGAGGTTTAATGGTACCCTGAAGCAAATGTTGCGCAAGATCACTGCTGAACGGCCGAAGGATTGGGATCGGTTTATCAACCCTCTGCTATTCGCCTATCGAGAGGTTCCTCAAGAATCACTTGGATTTTCACCCTTTGAGTTGCTGTACGGGAGAGCAGTAAGAGGGCCTATGATGATTCTGAGAGAACTGATGACCAAGGATATTCCAGATGAGGAAGTGAAAACTACCTATCAGTACGTGATGGATTTACGAGAGAGAGTGGAGGAAACTTGTCGACTGGCATCGGAGCAACTTAAAGATGCAAAAGTCAAACAGAAGAGGCACTTCAACCGAAGAGCGAGACAAAGAAACCTGAAAGCGGGTGACAAGGTTTTGGTACTCTTACCGACAAAGGCCAACAAGCTTCTATTGCAGTGGAGAGGACCTTATGACGTGATTGAGAAGGTGGGTCCGTCAGACTATCGTGTTGACCGTGATGGAAAGATCAAGGTACTCCACATCAACCTTCTGAAGAAGTATGAAGAACAAAAGAGCCGGGAAGACTCAAACGCAGTGACGTCCGAAGGAGTTCTGGCTTGTGTCCTGTCCATGGTCATTGAGGAAGAAGAATGTAAAGAAGAAGGTCTTAGCCACGTGTTAGAGACTCTTCCGTGTGACAGAGGAAAAGGGGGAATACAGGATGTAGGCATATCTCAGGAATTACCTGAAGAACAGAAAAGGGAGGTGAAAGATTTACTGGAGGGATATAAGGATGTGCTTACAGATCAACCGGGAAGGACAGTCCTTATCGAACATGACATCACGACTACAACTCCTGAGCCGGTGCGTGTTAAGCCTTATCCAATACCATTCAACACCACGGAAGTCATAACAGCAGAGGTGGACAAGATGTTGAAAATGGGAGTCATCGAGCCTTCTTCATCGCCTTATTCAGCACCTGTTGTGATCGTCAAAAAGAAGGACGGCACCAACCGCTTCTGCATCGACTTCAGGAAGTTAAACAGAGTGACAGTCTTTGACGCCGAACCGATGCCGAATACGGAGGAGATCTTTGCTAGACTGGCGGGTGCTCGTTACTTTTCGAAACTCGACCTAAGCAAAGGATACTGGCAGGTGCCGTTGACGGAGAAAGCAAAGCCCATGACAGCATTCACAACGCCACAGGGATTGTTTCAGTTCCGTGTCATGCCGTTTGGACTAGTGAACGCTCCTGCGACTTTCAGTCGCATGATGAGGAAGTTATTGGCAGGAATGGCTCATCTTGAGAATTTCATAGATGATATTCTCATTTACACCTCCACATGGGAAGAACACTTAGACGTTTTGAAGGAGCTGTTTTCACGTCTGCGCGAGGCTGGGTTGACTGCTAAGCCAAACAAGTGCGCGCTAGCTTTTTCAAGCTTACCGTGTCTAGGGCATGTGGTCGGATTAGGACGACTAGAACTGGAGCAGGCGAAAGTGAAAGCAATTGCGGAAGCGCCTACACCAACCAGCAAGAAGCAGGTGCGATCGTTCTTGGGATTGGCTGGATTTTATCGAAAGTTTATTCCTAACTTCGCCGCCATCAGCGTTCCCTTGACAGACCTGACTAAGAAGGGTAACCCCAACAAAGTCGTGTGGGAGGAAAGTCATGACATCGCATTCAATACTTTGAAGAAGTTGCTGACAGCAGGACCCGTTCTGAAGCTCGCTGATATGGAAGAAGACTTCATCCTTCGAACGGATGCTTCCGACACTGGTTTAGGTGCTGTTCTCCTGCAAGAGGACGGAGATCAGAAGTTGCCAGTTGCCTATGCGAGCAGGAAACTCCTACCTAGAGAACGGAATTATGCCATAGTGGAAAGGGAATGTTTGGCAATAGTCTGGGGGATCCAAAAATTTGAGCCATACTTGTATGGAAGAGAGTTTGTACTGGAAACCGACCATCAGCCACTCACTTATGTCAACAGATCCAGGACAGCAAACGCCAGATTAATGCGTTGGGCGCTGTTACTTCAGCCCTACAGATTCCGTATCCGAGCGATAAAGGGTGTGGACAATGTTGGTGCTGATTACCTCAGCCGGATTTGAACCATCCATACTCCGAAGTGTTTAGAAAATGTGTAACACTTTTTTCCGAAACGGGGGGATATTTGTCACGTCGTATGTATGTATATGTTGTTGTCTACGTTCGGTATTTTCGTTATCCCTGTCGAGCGACCGTACTTGTGCGTGTGACCAGGTGAGTGGGAGTTCATGGAGGTCGCGTGAATTCCGCAGGGGTTGTTTACGGGTTATTTACCCGATGTAACCACTACAAGGAAAATATACAGGCACAGATTGCAGACTGTGGTAAGTCTATCTTAATATCTCTTTCTTCGCATTATTGCTTTCTTAGCCTTTTTCTTAATAAATATCTTTGATAAACACTCGTTGTTTGTGCGGCTCAGTCATGCGTAGCATTGTTGTTTTTATGTATAAGGCTACACTAGGGTGTCCTTTCTTAGATTGTATCTTAGTATTTGCTAGGAATGTTATTATTGTAGCTGTTTCTATAACTTCTTCCAGTTATTATAAGTTATATGTATTTTATAAGCGTATAGAATACTCAGGTGAGAACGTATGCGTGTTTGAAAAAAGTATGGAAGCCGTGAGTTGCCGTATAATGTCTCATACATTGTTTGCTAGATGGTCGTTATGTTATTCTGAGCCTGCATTAGTCGTTCATTATGTTATTACCTTTATAACTCTTCGAAATGTATCATGTACTGTGTAATTTATGAGTATTTCTGGGGATAATTTCATTTATAATAGTAGTTGATTGTGTCATAATAATGTGCAAGTGTTGTATGCGAGTCAATCTTCGTTACTATTCTTTTAAGCTTTTCCCACCGGTCACAACGACACCAGCTACCTCATCAAGGCCACGACGGTTTTATCAGTGAGAGTCGGCACCAGGGCCTTAGCAGACAGTAAGGTCAGCCAATCACGGGAACTACAGGTTTGGCATTGGGGTACACGTTCCGAGGAGCATAGCGGTACAGATATGGCATCTATAACTGTGAGCTCTACTCTGCTTGAGATTTTGTGTGGCACGCACAGCGCCAGAGTACTACTGCGGTAGTAGTTCGTCAGTTGTCTGGATAGGAATCCTCTGTCTCCATTGAATCCAGTATTTGGGGGTTTTCTTGAACTTTTCATTCCTGGTGTGAAGGACCGTTGAGGGGTGATCAACAGAGACTTTGTGTAATACTGAAGTGTAATCTTTTGTGTGAATCTGAGGGAATGTGTG